GTCGGCTCTTCTCCCTCCCTCCCCCCTTCTCTCTCCTCTCTCTCTCTCTCTCTCTCTCTCTCTCTCTCTCTCTCTCTCTCTCTCTCTCTCTGTTTCTCTCCCCCTCCCCCCAATAAAGCTCTAAAAAGGTAACCATGGCTATGTATGATTCCTTTTAATCAGCACGCTGCTCCGCGGGCATGGTCGCCGCGGGCGGCAACCAGCCACAAGGGGCAGCGCCGTGGCATAACCAACACTCACCACCCCCCAACACACATTAAAAAAAAAATCAAGACTGTATAGGGAGTTCAAGGCCAGCCTTGGCTACATAAGACTTGAAAACAAACCCGGGCTGGGGATAAGCTGCATCCTACCTGCTGAGCGCCTCACCCCTGTTTTGTTTTTCACTTAGTGAGTTTCGTGAGGTTGCTCACAGTGAGGGTAGACACGTTGGGTTTTAAATTATGCCAATTACGCATTACTTACTGATTTCTGGGGTGTGCCAGATTAAGCTGTTTACTCTTATTTACCTCTTTCTGTGTGTAGCCCAGGCTGGCTCCACGGCCCTAGCATATGGTATTACAGGCATGGGTCACTGCCTTCTGTTCAGGCTAGCTTTGATAACTTCAGAAACCCGAAAATCGGAGCCAGGAGGTATAGTTCAGCAGACACCGTGGGAGATGGCGAGAGCCCTTGTCTCAAAGCCAAAACAGGCAACAAAACACCCAAACAGCGGCAAAAACAAACACCCCCCCCCCCCTGGGACTTGATGCTTAGTACACAGTTAACAAACAGATGTGAAGAGAGTGCTCGAGCTCGCCTGGACCACAGAGCGAGGCTGGGTCTCCAGGACAAAGACACTCAGCGGTCCTGCTGCAGCCTGTGCGCGCGTCTGCACGTGAGGAAGGGAAGTGTGTGTTTGCAGCTCTGCTTCGGCACACTTGTCCCAGAGGGCATAAAACTCTACTTTTTGACTCGTCCATCACTTTTTTTTCTTTTATAATTTCTTCTAAGCACATCTCACATTTTGGGATGAGAGCTGGGGATTAACGGAGCCTGCAGCTTCAGCCTGAAGAGCTGGTGTTCTGGCGGTCTAACCCGGGCTACACCGTTTGGTACGGTCCGAGGTTTCCCCTCCCCTTCCCGCGAAGGTGGTTGCTCCCACACCGCCCGGAAGTGCTCGCGGTCGGGTCCCGGGGGTGGACTGGTGGCGGGACATGGAGGTGCGGGGCCGTGTGGACAGTCCGGGCGGAGCCCTGGCGTCTGCCGAGCCGGTTCCGGCTCCGGTGACCCTGGCGCAGCTCCTGCAGCTGGTCCAGAAGGGCCAGGAGCTCCCGGGTCTGGAGAAACGCCACATCACTGCGACCCACGGCGAGCCCACGGCGTCGCTGCTCCCGCGGAGGCCCAAGCCCTGGGAGGACGCGGGCTCGGCCGCATCGGCCCGCACCGCCGCCCTAGACGCGCGCACGCAGTCCCCGACCGTCGGGGAACCGGCCCGGGTCAGCCCAGCGGCCCAGCTCGGCCGAGGCCCAGCAGATTCCTGAGCTCGAGGGCTTTTACAGCCGAGATCCGGAGGACCGGACTGGGTCCTGCAAGAACCCGAGAGTCTGGACAGCTGCCACCCTTACTCATCTTTCTGCATCTGCGCTGACCTGTCTCAACCGGACCCGGTCTTCCAGGAGACTCAACGTTGCCCAGGAATTTTGGGTTTGGACGCTGAATTTCAACTGCATACCGTGTTCTAGTCCGTCCGTGTAATTGAAAAAGCCTGTTTCACCACCTGCGGTCTGTTTCACTTGGGGCAGTAACCTCCAGGGCCACCTTCTAATGATACTGATAAAGTAAACCGAGAGCCGGGTCATTTCTGATTTTGCAGTTGTTTGGGTTTGATGATAGAAGTCGGTTCTGGAATGATGCAGCTAGTGAGATCTTTAAGACAGACGTCCTCTGTAGCTCTGGCCGTCCAGGCTGGCCTCCTCTGAGTGCCGGGATTAACAGTGTGGGCCACTACCGCCTGGCCCGTTTCATTAAAAGCTGAGCGGCAGTAAAACCCGAGAAGTCTTGGCTCTTGGAACCAACTCCTCCCACGATGCAGGTCGCAGAACCAAGCTGTGGCTCAGCAGCTGGTGCCTTAGCTACGGAGCCATCTCCACAGCTGGAACAGAAGAGTGCTGGGAATTACAGCGTCGATGCTAAGATTGTGTGTAACTGAGTGCGCGGTGTCAGATGGGGGGCTGGGGCGGGCTGAGCAGGTCTTAGTCACCGAGCTATGCTTGGGCTCCCTGAAATCTTGTTTAAGACCTGGTCTCTTTACATACTCCCGCCTGGCCTTGAACTCAAGAGACGCCGGCCTCTGCCTCCCGAGTGCTGGGATTAAAGGCTTGCGCCACCACACCAGGCTCCCAAGCAGTCTTTCCAACAGGTCCAGTGGCTCACTGCACTCTCTAAAACGAAGACCCGAATGGCAGTGTCAGCAGCCTTAGGTCTACCCATGTAGTTTAGTGACTAAAATAGACTGGGCAATTTAGAGTCCTACAACTTGCTTGGGACGTGTTAAGTTAGAAGGGATATCACGTTGTTTTTTTGTTTTTTTCTTTGTGACACAGGATTTCTCCCGTGTAGTTTCGGAGCCTTTCCTGGAACTCAGCCTGTAGCCTAGGCTGGCCTCAAACTCTCTCCATGTCACCCTGGCTGCCCTGAAATGTGTGTGTAAGATCAAGGTAGCCTTGAACTCATGAAGACCCATCCACTTGGCAAGCACAATCGCCCAAGGCTCTAAATACACTTTAACTTTGGGTTGGAGACGTTAAAAGCCCTTGCTGCTTTGCAGAGGACCTGGCGTCGCTTCCAGACCTTCCAGCTTTCATTTTGCCCTTAACTCCAGCTCTAGGGCACCACACGTTTTCTGGCTGCTCTGGGCCACACTCATGGTACAGAATCACACACACAATACATCTAAAAATAGTCTTTTACTTACAATTATTTTAAAAGTGGTTTTAAATTCTGACATCCAGGAGCTCCACTTTTCAGGCCAGAAACGCAAGCCATGCCCCTTATCTTAAAGGGCCTCACACTTATTAGGGAAGCACTCTGACACTGCCTAGGGGCGCCTCATTTAGCATTTCTCTGTGACTGCAAGGGATTTTTGGTTACCTCATCTCCCAATGCTCTACAACAGCAGTTACTGACCCCTGGAAGATTCTGGAACCCACTGACCTTGTAACTGGCATGTTCTGAGGCACTGTTACATTTTTTCCTTTTCCCCCCTTGAGACAGGGTCTCACTATGTATCCCTAGCTGTCCTGGAACTTGCTCTGTACACCAGGCAGGAATGAATTCAGAGATCTGCCTATCTCTGCCTCCCAAGTGCTGGAATTAAGTGCTACCAGCACACGGCTTTGGCTCTTGTCATTATTTCTAACTCAGTTTCACAGGGAGCCAAGGTTACAGGAAATCTCAAGGGAAAACAATGGTTAAGAAAGTGGACCCCTGGTGTGTGTTTGTTTTTTGAGACAGGGTTTCTCTGTGTAGTTTTGGTGCCTGTCATGGATCTCACCAGGCTGGCCTCAAACTCAGAGATCCGCTTGTCTCTGCCTCCCCGAGTGCTGGGATTAGAGGCGTGTGCCACCACCTGGTGCGGGTTTTAAGGAAAGGCTGATAGGCCATCCTGAAAGCCAGGGTGAAATTTAATGGGCAATTCCTGGATACATTTTTGAGTTGTTTCTGTGTGTGGCCCTGGGTGTCCTGGAACTCTGTAGAGCAGGAAACTCAGGATCTCTACTGCCTGTCTCCCAAGCACTGGGATTAAGGGGGTACTGCCTGTCTCCCAAGCACTGGGATTAAGGGGGTGTAACACAAGGCCCAGTTTCTCACTTTAGTCTCTTCTAGCACAGAATGCTAGATCAATGCTCATAAAAGCAGGCTGTCCTCACGTAAGAGGCACCTTGGAGTTCTGAGCACAATGGGAGTGTGTGTATGGTTTGAGGCATGTGTCTTCCTAGCGTAGACAACCCCATCTTAAACACTGGATTGGTCAGGGTTCAAACGGCACCACACCGACTCAGGACAGGCAAGCCTGACCACAGCTGACACCGAGGTCACACCATGGCCTCACAGCACAAGACCGCACACTGCTTTTGTCACTTCCTAACCACATTTCATGTCTGAGGAGTAAGTTCCCAGGCTGGGGGTGCACACACCTGTAATCTTAGCACCTAGGAGGATGAGGCAGGAGGATTGCTATGGAGTTTAAAGCCAGCCAGGATTGTACACAGTGAGACCCTGTCCTAAACAAACAAATAAAAAAAGCCACCTGCACTGACAACAATAGAATAAAAAGTAAAAACCAAGACTCTTTTCTTCCAAACTCAAGTATGGCCCTGGTCTGGTCCATTGCTTTAGTCTTGAAGCGGTGGGAAGGGTGTTTGGACTTTGTGCCCACCCAACATTAAACACCAAGACACCAGGCAGGACGAAGCAGGGCAGCCACTTTCCATGGAACTGGGTTGTGGTGAGGTTCACAATGCTCGGACCCGAGTCTTTCTCCCAGCCTCTTCCTTCCAGTGTGAAGGCAGAAATCATCTTCTCTGAAGATACTCGGTCATCTGAGATACAAAAGCACTCTTCCAGTGCACCGCGTCTTTGGGAACCCTAAGGGAGAAAACACAGCTGCATCAAAACCACTGGATGGAGAACAAGGACAGCAGCGACAGACACACGGCACCCGGGGTGGGGTCCTCTCTCCACCACAGCCAACTGGTCCTTTATGATGGGACTCCTCCTCACTGCAGGCTAAATGTCCACAGCAACACAGTCCTTTATGATGGGATTCCTCCTCACTGCAGGCTAAATGTCCACAGCCAACTGGTCCTTTATGACGGGAGTCCTCCTCACTGCAGGCTCAATGTCCACAGCAACACACATGTTTTCTAGCCTGTAACCTCACAGGGACAGCCTCATGTCCTCATCAGGCGTTGACCCTTCCACAGGTCAACATGCTTGTTCCCATCTTAACAGGACTCTCAAGTCCAGCACACACAGGAAGAACTTCTCTTCTAGCAAGGCCAGGGACTAAGAACTTGCAATTGTAGTTAGTTCTCGACCACTAACTACACCTCCAGCTCACAGAGGGACTTAAAACGGACAAGCATGGCCCATGAAAAGTCAGGCCAGGGGCTGACAAGATGGCTCAGTTACAAAGACGGTTTTGCTACCAAGACCGAACTACTCAGCTTTGATCCTTGGAACCAATATGGGAGGAGAGAACCAACCTCCACCCCAAGCTGTCCCTGACCGCCACATGAGCACTGTGCTGTGTACACGTGTGTACACACACACACACACACACACACACACGGGCACAACAAAAGGGTTTATAGTTGATGATTAGGGAAGGGAGAACAGGGGGGATTTGCTTTGGCCTGTGGAAGGTCGTGGGGGGAGAGAGAAGAGGGAGGGAGAGAGTGAGCGCACGAGCAGTCTGCAGCACAGCCTCACCTGGTCCCAGTCTAGTTCAGCTGGCGGATGAGCTGATTGATGCGTTCACCCCGATAGCCAGGAGAACCCATCTCCTTGAGGAACCCCACTCTGTTCTTGGTAGCATGCCGGGCCACGGAGAGGTGGAAAGGGCACAAGAATGAGGAGATCTCCTGGAAATGCTCGCCCGGGAAGGCGATTTCATGGATGAGGTCTTCCAGGCAAATGACACCAAATCTCCCTGGAAGAGAGACATGGTTCCTTGTCCCTCATCTAGCCAGAGTACAGGAGTGCTCACATGGCAACTGGGACTGCAGCGCCCAATGATATATACGCCCTGGACCCCAAACCCCAGCTGCCAACACCTGGCTTTCCACCCAGCTGCCCCCACAGCCGCACTCACCCAGGTGCTCCTCAATCACTGTGTTGTCGGTCAGAGCGACAGTCTTATTGTTAATCCTTGCTTGGCCACGTTTCAAGATGAGTTCCCGGACAGACTTCAGATTTGGAAATCTATGTAAGGCAAACACAGCATCCTGCATTACACTGGCCTCAGTTCTGCAGCTGCCTGAGAGGATTTTAAGGGCCCTCCTGCCGGGCGGTGGTGGCGCACCCCTTTAATCCCAGCACTCAGGAGGCAGAGCCAGGCGGATCTCTGTGAGTTTGAGGCCAGCCTGGCCTACAGAGCGAGTTCCAGGAAAGGCGCAAAGCTACACAGAGAAACTCTGTCTCGAAAAACCAAAACAAAAACGGCCTCCCACCCCAACTTCCCACAACCAGGGAGTGAACAAGTCACATTTTAGCTGGATTTTCGGGAGAAATAATTGACAGGAAGGATGAAAAACGGGGGTGGATACCAGGCACAGTGGCTCGTGCCTGCCACGCTAGAACCCGAGAGGCTGAGGCTGGAGGATCCTGGGCTGCAGTGAGTCTGAAGTGAGCTTGGTTGTCCAGCAGTACTTTGACTCAAGTAAGCTAAAAGCAAACCAACCCACCAGCCAACTGAAAACCCCAGAGCAGGCCTGAGCACACAATTAGACATTAGGATGTTTCTTTGAGACCAGGTCTTATTCTTGTAGCCTATGCTGGCCTCAAACTTGCGGCAATCCTCCTGTCTCCGTCTTTGGTGCATAGGATTCTGGGCCAGAGGCACCACGCTCAGTTCTAAATTTGGTTTGAGAAAGAGTCTCACAGGATAGCCCAGGCTGACCCGGAGTCCAGAGCAACCTCCCTGTCTCAGCTCTCCAAGGTCTGGGACAAAATCCAAGGTCTGGGACAACAGGTGCGGGCCACCACTCAGCTAAGTCCACACTGACACACGGGCACCGCCAGCACTCTGGCTTCAGGTGTTGATCTGTCACTCATTCCACTTAGTCTGAATCCACAACTGCATTCGCCCTGAAATGGTTCTGCTGGGACCGTCAGCAGCATCACTGGGCCTCCTTCCTCATACCCCAAGGGTCTCTTTCTGGTGACAGGCCAAAGCAAAATGCACAACACAACACCAGTCTCAGAGAACAATACCCCATGTGTCATAACACTCAAAGTCACGGAAATTAGTTCACATGGAGAACTACACTCACCCCCAGGTCACGTAAGGCTCCACTGTGCGCAGCATTTTCACACTCTGAGGGGTGACATGGACAAAGACACCACTGAACAACTTCTTCAGGCCAAGTTTTGCTATGGTCTTCTGTACCAACAGACTCACTCCTTCTGTCCTGAAGAGAACAGTCGACAGTGTCTGACTCCAGTCTGTGCTAGTCTGTCTGGCAATTCTGAGACACACGACTATTTACTAGATACACAGAATCCACCTTGGAAGGCAGACTGGAAACAGACCATTTTCCCATTATGTGGAACAATTCCTGGATACTACAGGACAGTCTCTGAATGGCGGGCTAGCAGGGCAGGAGGGTGGGTGGGCTACAGTATTGTATGTCTGTCTAAGGAAGCTGATCACTTCAATGGGTGGGTATAAGAGCAAGGAACACGTTCAGAGTTCTTTTTGACTGTCGCCTCTAGAGCAGACCTGAGGCTGACCTCAGAAGCAGGGAAATCCAAATCCAGGAAAGAGATTATGGGCAGCGGAGGAAGGTCAAAAGAGGGCAGAGCTGTAAATACTTAAATCTCAGAGGTTTTATATCAAGAAGCACACAGCTGTATTTGATGGGAACAAATACAAAATCCTGCTAAGTATGGACACGGCTTCCTAGCACTGTTTATCCTGTATTGTCAAACCCTTCACCAGGATATATGCCTGAGCAACACTGAACCCTTCATGTCTTTTGTTTCTCTGATTCAGCGCTGGGATTAAAGGCACGTGCCACCACGCCTGGACTCTGCCTACTTTTGTGTCTTGTGTCAGTTGCTGTTCCTGTTTTACAAAGAGTATCCCCGAACAATCCCGACTTCACCTGAGAGTCTGCATCACAGACAGACCTTATTCCACCTGGTGTCCTAACAGCACCCGGCACAATTTGCTGTAGCAGGTTAGGCTTTACCTCCTATCTCCCTACACAGACATCTAAAGCGAACCCAACAGGTCACCCATCTCAGGGACTCCGAGAAGACACTGGGACCCTACCTTTCCATGCGTATAACGAAGGCCAAGGAATGTTTATCAGGTACTTCCAATGCACGAGGTTTCACTTCTAGCCGCCGGACACGCACCTTGTCACGCTGCTGCCGCCAGGAATCATGTACGAATGATTCCAGTCGCTTAAACCTGAATTCTTTTGTTTTCCCCTAAGGCAGAAGACAGGCATCACCATCTCTTCCACAATTAACCCAGGAGCCACGAAAAAGAAACACAAATTTTAGCTGCATGTGGTGGCAGCGCACACTTTTGATCCCAGCACTGGGAGTCTAGTAAAGGCAGGCGGATTTCTGTGAGGCCAGCCTGGTCTACAAAGTTCCAGGACAGAGAAACCCTGCTCCCTGGCTCCACAAAAAAACTTTTACCATTATATAAGGAAACACGAGGAACCCAAGCAAAGATAGAGGTAAGAAAATTTAGATATTATGAAGAAAAGCTTGTGGTAAATTAATTTATATGTTGGTAACAATTACTTTATAATACCAAACAATGTATTAGGCATCATTTAATACAATAGGTCTTTCTTCTGTCCTCAAAAAACTTGTATATACTCCGTGCACAGTCCACATATACACATCATTCTAAATAGAATAAAAATAAAAATTGTTGGCTACTTTTGGTTTGAGACAGTTCTCATTATATAGCCCAAGCTGACCTTAAAACTCTCCACCCTGCTGCCCCAAGCCCTCAGAATGCTGGAATTCTACTAGTATGCCACAGTTAGCAATTTAATCCCAGCACTCTGGAGGTCAAGGCAGGCTGATCTGCTAGTCTGCGGCCAGACTGGTTCCATGGATTTCCAAATCAGCCAGAGATACACATAGAGAGGCCCTGCCGAAGGAAAAAAAATTTTTTTTCCTGCCAAATCTGGTTTTTCACCACTTAATTTGAATTCAGAAACTCTTCACTTTTCCCTTACATGCTATTCCTGCATTTTGCTCACAGAAAGATGTTAGGTAAATCTTTGCTTAAATGGAGACCTGGACTACACTGTTTAGGGGAACAAAGGGGGGTCGGGGAGAGTCTGCTAACAAATCTGGTTCAACACATGCTCAATAAAATGCATCGACTCCAAACCCCATTACCCGCACCCCCTGCTCCCCAGAATTACCTCCCTCTTTGCCAAAAGGGCCTGCTTTGCCTGGGTTGCTTTCAGAGCCTGATACGCCTTCCTCTTTTTCAGGAGATTTTCCGGAACCAAAGGGATCTTTTTTCTCTCCCTGATAAGTAAAAATCGACATCAAGGAAAATTACTAAATGAACATTCAATGGCTTTCCAAGCAGAGTCAGGATCCTGTTCTTCTAGGAACACGTCAGTCTTTTTCAGATCGTCCGGAGTCCACCTGTGAAGCTCATTCGTCCCGAGGGCCTTGAAAACAAGGACACCGTTGGTCCCGGGGATCGTGCGGGTCCGCAGGGCTTCCACACCCGTGGCCTGTCACAGACACCGACAGCGAGGAAACCACGGTGACGTCCGGGACCGTCTGGGCTGGTTCAGATCCCCCAGGGAGAATTACAGCCGGGGTGGGGTGGGGGCGAGACTTGAAGGGAGAGGGAGGGGACGGGGGAGACGGGAGGCCGCCCGACCACGGCACGCGTGGATTTCCTAAGTGTGAGATGCTCACCCAGGCCTGGACTTCCTAAGTGTGAGATGCACACCCAGGCCGGCCGGCGAGCCCGGCTCTCCCCAGCCGCCCCCTGCGCACCCGAGTTTCCCCGGACACCCGAGCCTCGGTGGCGGCCGCCGCGCAATCCCCAGCCACCGCATCTCTGTGCCCACCGCTTCTCCTCTCCGCACCCCACGGCACCCGGCGGCATCCCCGGAGCCGGAGCAGACCGGATGGCGTCGGATACCCAGCCCGCTCGGGAGCCCCAGCGGCCCAACACTTACCCGTCCTCCGCCATCTTCCCGGGGCCACCGCTACCGCTCATGCGCAGTCTGACTGGGCGGACAGAGAGGCCCGCTCGATGGCTCCTTGATCATAGAGACGCCGCTCTCGCCCACGCTGGAGGACCCTGGCCGCCGGCGATCCCCTAGCGGCTGTGAACTTCCGGGAAATGGTCTTGCTAGCCCTGGATCCAGCCAGAGGACTCCAGCTGCCTTCGCGCCCCTTCCAAGCTTCCTAGAGTCTATGGCATTCATCAAGATGCAGCCCTTTTCAGTGAGGCTGCGGTGTCCGGAAGGCGGCCGTTCGGCTGTGAACCGGAAACGCTTCCCACAATGCACCTGCACTTCCGGCACGGACTCGGCGGAGGACGGCGGGCGCCCTGAGGGGTGGTGTTTTGTCTCCACGGAGGCTCGAGAGGCCGACTTGGTGCTCACACTCGGGGCGGATTATTTGTGGAGGCTTTGGGGGAATAAAAGGTGGTGTCTGGGGCTCTGAGCCTTTGCGTCCCCTCCCTCTGCACCTCGGCTCCCTCACCCATGCCGGAGTGCGAGCCTTTCCCCGGGACCCGTGGAGGAATCTCGCCCTGGGAGACTGATGGTGTCAGCACGCTGACGGCGAGCAGCCAGCCCTGACGCTGCTCCTCCTCTTCATCTCAGCCTCCCGTGTGTAAGGCTCGCGGAGTGGACTCCCATGGCCACGCGTCTAGCACAGCGCGTTCACTGATGCTGTAGTCCAGGACGATGCAGTATTGGACCGCACTGGCAGCCGTCACCACAGACTTTATCCTACACCTTTTGAGTGCTCTTTGAGGACACAAGACTTTTCTTATTTCCTCCGTGTCTCATCTACACCACCTCACTACAGTGAGGATCTGCAAGGAATTGTTAGGTTCCTGCGGCTTGGGGCATCATTTTGGCCCACACTAAGGAACTAGCCCGCTCAGAAAGCTAATGCCATCGCCAGGCGCTCATTACCAGAAGAATACCAAACGGGAGTAACGGGCTAGCGAGGTTCGGCTGTTGGAGGACCCAGGTTTAGTTTCCAGCACCCACACGGTGCCTCCCAACCACGTGTAACTATTTCCAAAGGCTCCGATGACCTCACCAGGCACACAGCGGCACAGACATACATGCAGGCAAAACATACACACACAGGAAATAAAAATAAAAGATGCTGGGCATGTTGGCACTTGTCTTTAATCCCAGCACTCAGGAGGCTGGGGTAGGTGGGTCCCTGTGAGTCCAAGGCCAACCAGTTCTACATAGTAAGACCTGTCTCAAAAACAAGCGTGAACGTCAAAAGGGGCAGTAACACGGTGTTGTCACGGATGGTGGCCTGAGGCCACCTTGGTTCCTCCTCTTAGTTCCTTAACCATGTGTCTTTGTAAAGAGAAGACTTACCAAAGTGCAAGTCATTCAGGGGGCAAAGGTAAAACAATATTTTGTAACTTTCTGTACATAAAAGTTAGATCCTATCTAATTGACATTGTCAAGGGAAGAGGAGTTCAGTGTCGCCAACAACTCCCCACTAATTGAATGGGACTTTTAAGTTCTCAAAGCAAAGCCACCTCTCCACCATTCTGAACCCGATACTGGTTCCTTCCGGGTTCCCTGCCCCCACCTCTCCCCACCACACTGCGCACTGACCCTGTGTGCTAGTACTAGGGAAGACACAACACGTTAGTGAGGATGTGGCACTGACACTGAGCAGGCTTAGGGATTTCACTCTTTTTACTTTCTCACAAGTTCTGCTCTTGACGTTTCTATTAGAAAATAGAAATCTATTAGAGAATGATTAAATTGTGGGAGATTGTGCAACTATAAGCAGCCATATGGGTTTTCAGGTCCTGAAATCTCCTGTGGCTGTTTTTATTTTCCACTACCAGTGGTCATTCCCATGTCCTAACACTATTCCGCTCCATTGTGAACTGCTGTCTCCCTCAGCAGAGTTACATCTGCAGTCCCATCTCTGCGCCCATTGTCTTCCTTAGAGTGTGACCCTCCTTGTGGTCTACCTCACGGTGTTTCAAGTTTTCCTGGTTGTTTGCTGTGCTGGCTGTTTTTTTTTTGTTGTTGTTGTTGTTTTTGTTTTTCAAGACAGGGTGCTGGCTGGTTTTATGTCAACTTGATACAAGCTAGAGTCATCAGAGAGGAGGAAGCCTCAGTTGAGAAAGGCTTCTATAAGATCCAGCTGGAAGGCATTTTAAAAATTAGTGATCAGTGGGGGAGGGTCTACCCAGCCCATTGTGGGTGGTGCCACCCCTGGACTGGTGGTCCTGGGTTCTATAAGAAAGCAGGCTGAAGCAAGCCATGAGGAGCAAGCCAGTAAGCAGCCTGCCCTGCGCGAGTTCCTGCTCACACTACTTTTGATGATGCACTGTTAATATGGAACCGTGAGGGAAATAAACCTTTTCCTCCCTATGATGGCTATTCTTGGTTGTCAACCATATCTGGAATGAACTACAATCCAGAAATGGAGGGCACACCTGTGAGAGATTTTCTGCTTGGTTTGAAGTGGATGAATCCACTTCTAGTCTGGACCTTTGAAGTAGGAGGACACACCTCTGATCCAGATCTTGAGTCGGGAAGATACACCTTTAATATGGTCCACACCTTCTGTTGGAAGCCTGTATAAGGACATAGAAGAAGGAAGCTTTTGCTCTTTGCCTGCTTGTCCTTACCTCGCTAGCCCATCCATTCTTTCACTGGCATTGGCGCCTACTTCTTCAGGATTACAGCATATGCAGAAGACCAGGTGAAACATCCAACCCTGTGGGACTGAGCAACTGCTGAATTCTTGAACTTTTCCTTCACAGCTAGTCATTGTTGGAGTAACTGGACTGCAGCCTAAAAGTCATTCCAATACATTCTCTTAACACACACACACACACACACACACACACACACACACACACACATCAGCAGATGAGCCTGGAGTTGGGGGAAACGTTATCAACAAGAGCTATTGATTTGGATTTAAAAAAAATAAGCATCGGAAAGTGGGGGGGGGCAAGTAATGGTTTAGCCGTTAAGAACGAGCACTGCTTTTCTAGGGGACCTGAATTCACTCCCAGCACCCGTATCAAGTGGACAACCGCCTGTAACTCCGGCTGACTGGAAATCTGAAGCCTTCCTCTGGCCTCTACTGGAAGAAAGCACGTGGGAGGGAGCAGGTTTTTGGGGGTGGAGGACAGACACAGGAAACCAGGAGAGGAGGCAGACAGTGGATGACAAGTTAAACAAAACAAAAGAGAAAAGCCCAAACTGTCTCCAAGTTATTTCAGATTAGTGGAACATTGGCTCTTTACTATAATCTCTCCTTCAGTTACACCCCATATTGTACCCCAAACACAGGGCCAGGACAGACTGTCCTGCTTAATGGGCAAAGAAACTGAGGTGGAGAGCAACTTGGGTGGCTGCTTCCATCTGACTATGTCGTCCAAGGCTTGCCTGCTGCCCAGTCACTCTGCTCCCAGGGCCTTCACAGCAACGTTTTCCCTAAGTGATTTATTTATTTATTTATTTTTATTTGTTTGTTTATTGTGTATACAGTGTTCTGCCTGCATATATGGCTGCAGGCCAGAAGAGGGCGCCAGATCTCATTACAGATGGCTGTGAGCTACCATGTGGTTGCTGGATATTGAACTCAGGACCTTTAGAAGAGCAGTCAGTGCTCTTAAACACTGAGCCATCTCTCCAGCCCTCCCTAAGTGATTTAAAACAACAACAGCCAGGCGGTGGTGGCGCACGCCTTTAATCCCAGCACTCGGGAGACAGAGCCAGGTGGATCTCTGTGAGGTCGAGGCCAGTCTGAGTTACCAAGTGAGTTCAAGGAAAGACACAAAGCTACACCGAGAAACCCTGTCTCAAAAAACAAAACAAAAAAAATTTTGTTTTATTAGTTTTATGGGTTTTTTTTTTTTTTTTTTTTTTTTTTTTTTT